AGCCAGGCTGACACACCAGCAGCCAGCAAGGGAGAATACTCAGAGCAAAGCTGCTTTCTGTAGGAAGGGCAAGGTACAGGTTAGTTATCAGGTGAGGCAGTCGGCAGGGATGTTCTGAGGTGGTGTACTGGGACATGGGTGGAACCCAAGTACCCTGGGCCTATAGAACTCACTGCTCCTGCTTGAGGATGCACTTCATTGGCTTTACAGCAGACAATCTGGGGAGAGGGGTGTTACTGTGAAACCTACATTTTACATCAAATTTCAAAACAAAAAAATTGGAAAAGAACCACACCTTAACTGATCACCTAGTTTTAAAAAAAATGGCAAAGTTCCATTTTAATAGCCTGACAGCCCTAGAGGCTGGTGCCCTAAATGTCCTCAGAACAAGAACACATGGGTAATGTGACTCAGCCTACTGGCAGAGAGCCTAATTCTCACATTGCATGGTAATTCAGGATAAAGCCTTCTCAAATTTGCTCCTAAGGGAACAAATTGCACACAAAATATTTGTAAATTGTACATGTCAATAAATAAATGTGGAAGTTCCAGCATGGCACTAGGGAGCACAGGCCACTAGCTGGAAGGAGGTGGGAGATCATGCTGCAGTCCCACTCTAGGATAAACTCTGTACTGAGAATACACCTAAGAGCCAATCCAGCTCCAGAAATACCCCAAAGCCCTGTTCCTCCATGCCAGGTGCAGCACATGTGGGCAAGCAGTGCCAGCCCAAAAGGCTCCAAATATGGAAGGCTTAATATTGTGAGATCCAGATGTGGGATGAGAGGGTTCTGTGTCAGACAATGTGGGTGCAGGCAGCTCAGCAGGGGGCTCTGTATGCATAGGGGCTCATTCCTGCATAAAACAGAACCCTCTGTAAGGTCCAGATGAGGGTGGCTCGGTAGGTGGCTCAGTGGGGGATAGCACTATGCAATATATTTACTTGGACTCAGGTCTGTGCGCCAGATCCCTAGGTTTGAGCATAGGAGTAGATAATTCAAAATCTAGGATTAAAATACAATGTAAATGCTCAAGGCCACGGTTCCCTGATGTAGGTCAGCTGGTTCAATTCCTAGTCACCACAGGCTTACATTGCTGTGTAGATGTACCATTAGGCCTAGTGTGCATGACACAGTTGGGTCAATGCAAAGCAGCTTACATCAACTAATTATGTAAGCGTTTACACTTACATTTTGCCCCGATGATGTAACTACCTTGCTAAAACAATTCAATTGAACCTATGCAAGTGGCATAAAGATAGGTCTACACAGTTTCGTTTCTGTTTACAGACCAGGCCTTCACTTCCTGTTTTTTTTAAAAAAGTCAACTTCATACAACAGTACATTCAACAGAGAAGAAAGAACTTTGCTATTAAGTCAAATGTCTGGCAAAGTGTATAAAAAAAAAAGTCAGAATTTACAATAAAGTGTCAGTCCTGCAATTAAAACCAAGTTTACAATACAGATTTAACAAATCTAGGTGTTAATTGTTGTGCCAAATGTTTACATTAACAAATATGAAACTGCTAACGATAAAGTGTTTAGTGTGTAATAGATTTATTATACAGATAGTTCTTAATTAGGACATTTAAAGGGACACTTTAACACAAAAATAATTATCTTTGATACAAAAAAATCTGATACCTGACAAATATTACTCACCATTTAATTCTATTTCAAGAATAATGTTTACATTAAGTACAGCCTGGTTTGTACCGAGGCATGCTACTTTTGTAGAGGATTAATTTGTGTTCTGTAAGTCTGGCACTGTATCTAAACAAAAACTTGTTAATTTTAAATAAAAATATATATATTAATACAAAAGTTGAGTAAGAGTTAAAGTTAACTAATAAGGTTCCCACAACCATGTGTTCCCTTGTGCACACAGTATGTACAGTGTATAATTCATTTGCTAAATTCATACAATTTCAGCTAAAGACTGAAAACCATAAGTCTGATCAATGTAAATCCAGACTAATTACTTGTAGTGTACTAGCTACAGTAAAAATTCTATTGTGGTAGGCACTGTACAGATACACATAAAAAGCCAGTCCCTACACCCAAAGAGCTCACAATATAGGTGTCACTCTAGATTTGCACTCTTCCAAAGAGTGCTTGATCACATAACTTAATTTCCTGAAATATGTGCACTAAATTTGCTTTCTTAGTCAGCTTTTTGCCTCAAGATGAGAGGGAAAGAAAATCACATTATAATATGTGGACAAAAATATATTCAGTTATTTTTAAATGCAGCAAAAACATAACTCAGCATGTAAGAATGATTTAATGGTCAGGGCACTAACATGGGACTTGAGATAGCTAGCTTCAATGCCACTCTGCCACTGACTTCGTGTGACTATGTCAAATCACTTCATTATTCTCATGTCAGTCTCTCCACCCAGCCACTGAAATGGGAATAAAAGTACTTGCCTACTTCCAAGAACTATTATGAGGAGCAACATATTAAAGACTATGGAGCAGTTAGGGTGATAAGAAGGACCACAAACGTCTTGAGATAAATAAAACTGTTAAAATAAACATGACACTGCAAAAGGGGCGAAACACTATGTGTGCATAAGGTTGCATTGCATGCCTATCATAAAGGTGGAAATCATGGATTCTGTGACTGCCATGACTTCTGCACTCTGCCCAGCCCCTGGGACTGCCACTCCAGATCTTTGAGCTTGTCCCCAAAGGACAGCCACTTCACTGCTGCAACTTGCCCCATGGACAACCAGGACAGCTCCCTACCATCCCAAGTGGTGGCTTTCCTCCACCTCTACCCTAAAAGGAAGTGCCCTGGAGTCCCCATCTAAGATGTAGTCAGTTATATTTGGAGTGAAAGTCCACAGATAGGTCACAGGCGAACAAATTCACAGCCTGGGACCTATCCATGACTAAATCATAGTCTTACCTATGCGCACTACAGTAACATCTAAAAGGAAATTTTATACCTTTCCCATTCAGGAGGTTTCCAAAAAAAGATTACTCCATTATTTCTAACATCAAATTTCTTCAAACTTGTCAGACACTTTTCTTCCAGTGAACTGAATGTGTACCCTAAGTCTGAAGTTAAGCCAGGTCCCCATGTGCACCAACTCCCGCAGAACCCCTCCACTCCCATGTGTAAACGTGAAACAGCTGAAAACTTCCAACATAAACCAAATAAATACCAAAATAAACACATATTAACATCCCTAGTACCCATTACCATGAAGCTAGACATTTGTATAGGCACAGCGATATGACTAGCAAGATTTAGCCTAAGACCCATAAGTCTTTGTGGCAGAGACAATCTTATTACATGAGCATAGCACCCAGCACAACAGGATCTTGACCAGCGTTGGGGAAAAGAGCTTCAGTGAGCTGGATCCAGTCTATCTAGAGGGCTGATCCAACCTGGGGTCACCCTGCCGCTCCCACACCACCAGGACAATCAAGACCTGGGGACAGGGAAGCACAAAGTCTCCTCTTGTCATCAGGGCGTTCTGAACAGCTAGTGGTTCTCTCTAGGTGCCTGGGGGAAAAGTCTTTACACACTCCCCATGCCCCCAGGCTAATCAGGGACTGTGGGTGGGGGAGCATGGAAGTGTCCTGGCCCAGCCAGCTTCTGAGGCAGGCTGGGGCCACTTCAAAAATCTGTGAAGTGGCCCCCCTTCTAAAATTATTGCCCTCCCCTGATCTTGACCCTTAGTTATGCTGTCATAGTAACTTAGAGGCCTCAAAACACCAGGCAACTACCATCTTTACACTTAAGAGGAAAGCATACTTGAGAAATACTGGAATTATTAATTAGTCAGCTCAGCAAACACACACAGAGAACATTTCAACTGAAAATACACTATTTCACTGATGAAGTTTTTCCTGACATCTCAGATGTGATAAATGTATTAAGTTGTGGCTTGACTATGTTAATAGTCTGATGTTAGACTTGCTAGTTGTGATCACATATTACAGCTAAATTACACAACTACGATCACTCTCAAAGTGACTAATAGTCTCCTGCATATATAAAAAATTGGAACTTTTTCAGCTATTACTATTTTTATAGAATGCTCAGAAACAAAATTATGCACAGCTGGCCTTGTATCTACTGATAAACTCTTGAGGAGGGGTGGGGTAAGGGTGAGAAAAATCCCTTACTAAGGCCTTGTCAGATTATGAGGATTTTAATAAATGTGGTCCAAAGTCTATGCATGCAGCATTTCCCATAATTATGAAGTTACTTAGTGAAAAAACTCAAGAGCAGAAGTCCGCAAAGCTATTTTACTATTAATTCCCACCAGCTATTTAATCTGGTGCCCCCCAAAGTCCTGCCCTAAATATATGGCTTTCCTATTTTGCTCACAGCATGTCATCTGCTGCTTAAACCATTAACAAAGAGTAATGGATGACATAAAAGCTACTGTGTACTGCTCAATTTTTAAAAAAATCTATTTTTCAGTAGTACTCAAGAAGCTCCTAATAAATAATGCACCAAATATAGCATAGTGGGTTAAACACTACCCACTACAAAGAACTCCTCCAGAAGAGACCATTGCTTATTTGTGTTCACAGCGAGAGAAAAGAGCAGGAACCTTTGAAACGATATGTTCGTTCAGCAGAACTGTTCACAAGAGCTTGTACAGGACTGCTCACTGGTCTGCCTCCTTTACCACAGAGGTGGCTGGACATCGGAAAAGGTGCCTGATCATCACGCGGTTACCTCCTGTGCATGCCAGTGACGGCAAGGGCCCAAGCAGACAACAACAGGTGCATCCTATGTCACCCCCCATAGCCCCCCCAGCCATACAACCTCGCACAGCGCAGAGCCCCTTCTACCGCCCCCCACGTAGCCCCCCCCACTGCCAGAGCGTCGCCAGCGTCCCCTACTACACCCCCGCCCCACAGCCCCTGCCAGGCAACCTCCCCCTCCCCCGGAGCCCCGCCCATCTCCGCCCAAGCCCTTCAGCGCCCCGCTACCGTCAGAGCCCCTCCCTCCCGCCGGGCCCCCTCCCTCCCCGCCGCGCCGGCGAGGCTGCGGATCCCGCCAGGACAGCAGCCCCCGCTCCCACTCTAAGGTGACCTCCCAGGCGCGCTGCCCGAGCGCCAGCGAGGAGACGAGCCGGGGCCGCCGCCGGCCGCCCACGGGCTCCTCCATGGGCGCTCAGTGCCGGGGCACGGCTGCCCCGCGACGCATGGCCAGGGCCGGAGGAGCCGCCCCGCTAGCGGACACCGGGATGGCGGCAGCCAGCGGCTAACGGGGCCCAGCCTCACCGCTAACCGGCTACTGCCCGGGGGCGGGGCGGCAACGTCAGCACGTATGCAAATCACCGACGGGGCGGGGTGGGGGAGGGGAGGCAGCCTCGCCGTCTGCCAGGCACCAGCTGGAAGGTGCAACCCAGCCGCGACCCCACCCGAAGGGAGAAACCAGTCGGCTCGTGACCAGGCGTCGGGCTGCGCGCCGCCTGCGACTCCCAGCATCTGGCCCTGCCTGTTGTCGCCTTGCAACGCCTCCCGGGCTCGCCAGGTCCCTCCTCTCGCGCCCTTGCACGCAGTCCGAGCGGAGCGTGGCCAGAGCGCGGTCCTGCTCTGCATGCGAAAGGAAGAGCCCAGAGGTCACTCACTGCTGGGATGCTTGCACCGTGCTGGGAGCAGATGTCTCTCTCAGTATGTGGGGACACACAGTGCAAGAAGTGGGGTTTCCCCATGAAAGCTCATGAGTCTACATCTATATATTAAACAGCTAGTAGTCCTGTAGCACCTTGAAGACTAACCGTGTATGTTTCTCTCCACTCCCCGAGGAAGTGGGTTTGGCCCATGATTCTCTCTCTATATATACAAGTTCGTATGCAGGAATTTCTGGTGAGTGTGTGGGGTTTTTTTTGTAAATGTGGAGTGCAAGGGTGTGAATGCACCCCCTATGGTTCCCCAAGTAAGGGGGGGAATCAGCCCCAGCCTTCCTGCTGGCCAGAGCATGGGGGAGGGAGGCTTGGGCAGCAGGCCACTCCTGCCTTCCCCTGATCTGCTGGAGTATGCTTGAGGGACCATGTGGGATGCTTTCACACCCTTCCCACACATAGCCTGCACATGGGGCCTGATTTTGTGTGTGTATGTGTGTACGTACACACACACACACACTTACTTTGTTAGTCTCCAAGGTGCTACAGGACTACTCATTTCTAAAGTTAAAGATTAACACAGCTACCCCTCTGAGACTTTTGTACAGTTAAACATTCCATCTCTACCTGAGTCTGGCTTTACCAACACCACCAACAAAACTATTAAGTTCACCCCAGCTTGCGTGCTCTTAAGGCTCCTATCTAAGGCTCCTATCTCAGATAGCTCCCAAGAGTCTTCCCTGCACCGCCTCCCCCCTCTCATTCTCGTCTCTCAACAATGCACGGGTGAGGTAAACAGCCATTTGCTTAGGTAAAGCAGCAGAACTGGCAGGATTCTGCTGGGAGAGGGTTAACATCTGCTGACAGGACCAGGTGTACTATGCAAATATTGCTTGCGTGTTAAATTATGTAACGATTAACTATACCAGCTGAGTAATGCTGCCCATTTGTCTCTGTATATAGGTCATGTATGTTCACAGCCGAATTAGTTGGTTAACTGTTTCATGTCTGAGTGCTGTCTTCTTTAAATCAGTTTACATTAATGAGGGCAGTAGTAAATGGCTAAACAAGAAAGTGTCTAGTACTTGGGTGCAGGTAGTGTAAGCCTTACAGGATCAGTTTGTAAACTGGAACCCATGGTCTACCACAGGGACAGGCAGTTATTTTTGATGGGGGCAGCCACTCCAAGAATTTGGTAAGTGGTCAAGAGCCCCACTCTTCCATGATATTAATGGAGGAGCTGTAGGATCTGGAATGGAGATCTGGTGCAGAAGGGAGTTCAGGATAGGAAATTGGGGTACAGAAGGAGGTGTGAGGTCTGGGAGGGGGTTGTAACCTGGGTCAGTAGTGCAGAGTTTGGGGAGTGGGCTGGTCCACAGGTCATATTTTCCCTCGTCTACAGCAAAGTTACTGCAAACGTGGGATGGGAGCCATGAAAGTGCTGATGTGTCTAAGTCCCTGTTTTGAACTCCCCTGTGATTCACAAAACTCCCACTGAACCTGCTAGGTGCCTAAACTCACCTAGCACCTATGTTTTTCAAAGTATAAGTTCCTGTGTCCTTGGTGCCAATACCATCCCTCAGACATAGAATCATAGAAGATTAGGGTTGGAAGAGACCTCAAGAAGTCATTTAGTCTGACCCCCTGCTAAAACAGAACTAATCCCAACTCAGTCATCTCAGCCAGGGCTTTGTCAAACCCAGCCTTAAAAACCTTACAGGGAGCTCACCAGCCAGGTGTGAGAGGTATGCATGGAATGCAAGTACTTTCCCCTCACTCCCCGATAGTTTGGGGAACGGAGTGAAAAGCAAGCCATGTTCTGGAGCACATGGATGCTCCCCCACCACCTTCCTGGAATGGCACCCTTCAATAATCACTTGCCTCAGTCTTCTGGCAATGCTCCTGCTAATCAACCCAATATGTAGGCCCTTAGTCTTCTTAGCAACAAAGGCACACTGTTGACTCATATCCAGCTCCTTGTCCTCAGATCCTTTTCTGCATAACTACCACTTAGCTGGTTAATCCCCAGCCTGCAGCAGTGCATGGGATCCTTCCATCCTACATGCACGACTCTGTGCTTGTCCTTGTTGAGCTTCATCAGATTTCTTTTGGCCCGTTACTTTATTTTGTCTAGGTCAGTCTGGTC